TTCCGATCTTTTAAGAAGATCTTCTTCTGTAAAAGGCTATTTCTTGGATCTTTGGATCTATGCTTGCTAATTTTACTTAATTTGATTAACTTTCAACTGCCAAGATAAACTGTTTGCCTATGATGCTAGAAAGACTGATAGTGATTCTAATGGCGATGAATTGAAAAAAAATTTATTTCTCATTGAATATCACTGTTCTACGCACCACTAAAAAATCATTTATAACTCAAACTGGACTGAAATTCCGACCTCGTAGTTATGCCCTCAGCAATCCCAGCGGAATTCAAACTAGGGACTTGCAATTTAACAGGAAACATTACACCAATACCACAGACCCTGGCGCCATCAGGCACTACCTCCAGCATGACCTTCAGCACACATCAGGCCTTTCTCAGCTAATTTCCTTGCTTGAGAACCTTCTGCCAACAGGAAACTAGTAAAATTGGATTTCGAAGCTTCGTTAGCACCAAGTTTATATTTGCCTTCAGAAGTCTGATTATTAATAACGGAATAACATTTAAGAGAAATAAACTGATTGATAAGAAATCTGCTTCGGAAGTTTTTATTCCCAGTCACATTTGCAGTGAATATAAGTGAACCTTAATAATACAGCGAAAATCGCTCAAGCCCGGTATTAATTATACATACATAAAGAATGATCTCAGTGCTGGAGTGACTTTAGCTACGAAACGCCCAGACAAATGCATATTCTACTACGTAGCACACTGACTCCATTTTGATAATGCCAGTTAAGAAATCCTTTTAATCAAAGTAAAGTGGCTCCAAATATATGTATCAATGGATTCTAAATGCCAATTAATTTGGGTGCATTCCCAATCAGTTGATACATTACCTTAGAACCATTCTACATGTGCGAGTGCTTATGTAAATAGTGTATCCCACACGATTGATTCTGATAAGCCTCATTCTTAACCATTTAAGGATGACTAGTCTGTTAGAAAAATGCTCTTTTATGAGCTAAGGGAAATAATTTTATCAATAAATGACTGACGATCTTTGAAAAATCTAGCTTCTAATTTTACAACTGTCGGCCATTACCTTAGAGCTTTAGTCTAACCAATCCAATTTTCAGTTAACCTCACCTTAACACCGAAATCCTATTTACTAACCCTAAAAACACGACCTTTTTGCTGCCATACTCTTTTTTCACTCACGACTAAGGCTTTTTGGATTATTTAGTCATTGCATGTTCATGTAGTCAAGCTGTACATGTATATTGGAAGTTGAAGTCTGGCCGGAATTAGGACCAGACAAAATTCGCAATTCTTAAGAAGAAACCAGCTTCCTTGAGTAGCCTATTTAGTAAGACAAACAGCATGGCAAATTCGAGGTCTGAAAAAGGATTTTATTACATTTTGGTGAATACAAGATTGCCGTCTCTCTTAAATGCTTCCAAATTTTGTGCTGCGGTGACAAGGCAGATCCTGGCCTATCAGAAATCCCTCTTTATTTCGGTCTGCTGACTCAAATTGCTTTTCCTAACAGCATTAAAAAGGTTCGATCTCACTCTAATAGGGTTTGTCAGTTGGGCCTCTTGGTTCCACTTATATCATGAGGACCGCACATTTTATTATAGAAAATACCACCATCAATATATAAATAATCTTTATCGACCTGGAATTATCAAGTCTATAATTCTAGACTTATTGATATCCTCATAACATGCTTGTAGAGACTAGTATATTTAATTAATAACATATCATTGCATTTATTTTGGAAACTATACATAAACAACTCAAATTTAAACGTGATGCTAGGAGACATAATGTGAAAAGCACGCATGCGGACATCATTATTGCTTTACTAACAAAGAGGAACTTTTAAAGATGAATTTTTTTCCATAATTTAGCAAAATTATTTATTCTTATAAAGCATTCAAGATCGTATCATTTTAACAAGCCTAAGTTTGATCATTATTCCATCGTTCAGAGTGTGTACAGTTGGAAGTATCTTTTCTGCAGTCAAGAATTGGAGGTTTTAAGATTGGCTAGCCTCACCAGACGGTCAGACTCGCCTCCAATTTGTTATTGCATGTGATGGAAATCGGGACATTTGGTTTTTGACCAATAATTTGAAGTAGGAGTATGTCTGGAAACTGCCCGTGGTGCTCGAATAAGAACATAGTAACTCTAGGTCGCTTAAGGCCAATTAAAAACTGGAAGACTAGTTTTTGTCACATTTATATTGGTAGGCCCTAGGCTGACATTAAATCTTACTTGGCCTTGTCTTTAAAAAGCTTTTTCAGTAGGGCTAGACAGCAATTTCGGCCTCACCGAGATTTGAAACAGGTTTATGCTCATCCTGGCTACCGTTCTCCTACATATCCACGTGTGTCAAGCCAGGCCTCTTCCAAATCGAAATTAAATAGCTTCGTCAATTATATTGACAAATAAGTGTTTGTATCATCAACAATCCTACCACGAAAGAGATATCATGGTCATATTTATCCTTTCGACACACTGGCGTCCGTGGCTGTGTAGTAGGCAATGTTCACTACCCGTTGGACGGCTGAGACGAAACACAATTGGGATTAGAGTACAGTCTAGATGAGAAAACCTTTTGAGAGGCTAATCTAAGGAAAATTTAATTTCATAACGAGGCATACTCATTTCACTGCGTAAAACCCCACTATTAAATCTAAAATAGCCCAAAGTGATCTAGAGTGACTAAATTCCTATTCATGAATTACTCATAGCCTCGCGAACTACTATATAAAATAGCTGGGTCTATAATAGACGGACGAGATTAAGTTTGCCAAATTAATTTGGCATTGAAAAAAAACAGATTCTAATGGGGACAAGCCAGCTAGCTACGAAGCACAGGTTTACATTCTAACTCTAATCACTCATTTCTACATCATCCTGCTTTTCAGCCTAGCTGTATTCTTCATTACATATCTCAACTTCTTTTTATTTTACATGTCCTTTTCCAATCCACCCTACCTCCCATAACTTTATTTAACCTGCACCCTTAGTGTGCTGCCTTTTTTCGCTTGTTTTATTATGCCTTTGCTGTACATCTTTGTTAATTTATCCTCCATAATAACGTCTCGACTTCATCTGCGACTCATAACCGGTCACATCTGCAGTTCTGCATAATTTACTCAACACTCCTGTAATATATCGGACCTCCAGCAGTGGCCCCAGCTCTAGGCACTCCGTCTCGAGATATCAGACAAATTCTGGCCTTTCTGGGCCAGGCTGGAACTCTCATCATGGAGCACGTTCAAATCAAGCTGGCTCTCGACACAGTTTTACGGACAAAGAGAGCATAAACGTTCCCACTGGGGTCACATTATCTTCACAGGCTAACAGGCAAAGACAATCGTCCGCTCGCACAAGCGTTCGCTCAGAAATGCCTCTGCCTCCGGTTCCTTTAACTAAAAACTACGCTACACCAGAGCAGATAGCTGCTGTGAAAGAAATATTTCCCAATATTCCTGAAATACAAATTCAACAGCTGTTGATAGACCAAAGAGGCGACACTGGAAAGGTGGTAGAATTTTTCTTGAATTCTACCCAATCTGCTTGATTTTCGCCGTGAGCTGGATATTTTCCACTTTTAAAATGATTCGCTCATTCGTCGTTCACAACAATACTTTGTGCTTTTACAAAAAAAAATATTTTTATGCCTGCATAATTGTACGGATTGACAGGCCACTTGGTCCGAGCGTTTATATTAATTAGTCTTATTATATATCTTAAATTTTACTTTTAATGTTTTATCCATAAAAAGTAAGGATCTCATTTGATCCTGACAAAGGCAATTCTCCTCTGATATAGAAATAATAAAGGGCTCAGAAGTTTCATGCCTCTAAACATTTCTTGGTTCGAATATCCGGACTTGCTTCAATACTATTTACTTTAGGCTTAATTTTGGAAGGTACGCCTAACCACCGGTGATCTACACACATAGTAATGATAATACACTTATTAGTAATATAAACAAACTCAAAGTAAGGGCTCATGTATGTAATTTTGAAGGAATGAGAGTAAAGTTATGTAAATAATCGTCCCAACGTCTCTCGCCTGTTCTATTCCTTTAGTCATTTTTCTCTTTTTTAAAGTTAAACCAAGCCAGGAAAAAAACTTAATTCATGTTATTAAAGACGATGGTGACATGAGGTAAAGAGCCTTTTTCCGAAGGAGCTTGATGTTTGAGTAAAACCTGATTATAAGTTGTTTGACCTTGTTTTCGCAACTCGGTCATATTGGTAGGAAGACTTAAAGAAACGCACCTAGT